AAGTGAACAGTATTTTTAATTTACACTTCCATTTAGAAAGGGAGAAGTTAGAATTATATATTCAGATATGGAGCAATCAGTAAATGAGCCTATATCTGTATTTCGTAAGTCAATTTTTTAAATTGACAAGTGAAAATTGTATATATTTAGGTGTGCAGCATGTTATTTTGATATATGTAGAAATTGTGAAATGGCTAAATCAAGCTATTTACCATATGCATTACCTCACATCCTTTTTTTTTTTTTGTGATGAGAACACTTAAAATCCCTCTTAGCAATTTTCAGGTAGTTACCATGTTGTACAGTAGAGCTCTTGAACTTATTTCTCCTGTCTAACTGAAACGCTGTGTCCTTTACCAACATCTCCCCCAACCCCTGCCTCTGGTGAATACCATTTTACTGTTTCTGTGAGTTTGACTCTTTTAAATAAAATATATAAGTGAGAGCATGAGGTATTCATCTCTCTGTGCCTGGCTTATTTTGTAGGACTGCAGTATTTTGTGTATTAAAATAGAGTACGTGAGGGCAGTTTGAAGAAATTCTTCTGAAGACATTAGGAGCAAAGGAATCTCGGCTCCCAAATTAAGCCACCCTTTGCCAGATTGCTTTTCTTTTTCTTTTTTAAATTGCAGTAAGAACACTTCACGTGACGGCTACCCTTGTAACAGATTTTTCTGTGCACAATATAGTATTGCTAGGTACACTGTTGTACAGCAGATCTCTAGAACTTAATGATCTTGCATAACTGAAGCTTTGCTTTGCTTTTAAGCTTTCTAATAGTCAAGGCAAATGAGATATAAGTAAGATTTCTTAGTTTTGAGCAGCTACTCTTTCCGAGGAAAATGTGTTCGGATTCATCTGTGGATTTAAAATCTAAACTGTTGACTCTCTTTAGCAGCTCAGCTGCATGCATTGGGGCTTTCATTTTTCAGTTATTTTAATACATCCTAGAATGAGACTACAGGTACTGAAACTCCTTGAACAACAAGGAATTTGAGTTTTCCTCACCCTGCCTCCTTATCACCATGGAACTCTTCCATTTTCTTTTTCTTTTTATTCTTTTTCTCCCTTTTCCCCAATTTTTTTCCTAATTTTTAGATCAACCAAGATGATATAACCTGTTAAATACATAAATGACCAAGAAGGTATTTTCCTGGTTGAAATATCAGAAATATTATTGGCATTTATGAAACCCTAAATTTAGCAAAGCTTCTTTACAGAAATTTTCTACCACCCTTATGAAAATGATTTGCCCGAGTTGTAAAGATGTGTTATGAAAGAACTTGAGACTTTTAGGAATTCGGACACTCTTTGGTTTTACATCTAGATATTTGACTTAGAGGAGTGCAGTCTTTAAGTAATGGTCTATTTAAAGTAATTAGCTAACATTTGTGGGTAGGAGGTGACAGAATTGGATGTTACTAATCCTAGCATTATTTGGTAGCATTTTTATGCCTGGCATAACAGTTTTATGAAAATTTTATATGTGAAAAGCCAGTGTGTCTGCTTCAGGGTGAGATGAATTCTGTTGCAGTAGTTGTAATTATACTATGAGACATGTAAAAGAAGCAAAGCCAAATAGAGAAACAGCTGGAGAACACAATTCTGCTTTTCCAAGGAAAAGGAACTGAGCAATCTGTTGAGCAGCCTCTGACCCTTGAACCCACTGTGGGCCTACGTGCAGCCTGATGCAAATCAGAAGGATCAGGGAATTGATATCTTCAGGGTGCTCTCTTTAGAGAATCCCTCAGTGGAAGGGCAGGACCCTCAGCATGTCGAGATCTCAGAGTGGAATCTTTCTTAGGGCTCTGACTAGAACGTTCTGGTGAGGCCCTCTGGAAAATAGCCACCAAAACTGCAAACTGACATGTGCTGTGCCTGTTTTTTTTTGTCTCCACTCCCATTATAATGGTTGTTCCCACCCCTTTTAGAGACCAACCATTCCTCTCGGCCTTGTCTCTCACCCAAACCACTGTCCCAGCCTCCTAACTGGCCTCTCTCTGTCTCCACTTTTGCTCCCCTATAGTCTGTTCTCCATCTAAAGCACAGTAATCTTTCAAAAAAGGGTAAATCTCCTTACCCAATCATGGCTTGTTTGCACTTTGATGAGAGATTGAAACGTCCTATCTGCCCACCAGGTGCTGCCTGCTGTAGCTCATTTTGGTCCTCTGGCCTCAGCTCATTCCCAGCCTCATTCACGTCTTTACTCTTCTTCACACCTGCCAAGCTGTTCCCTCTGTGGGAGCCAGGACTCCCACACCTACTGTTTCCTCTGCCCGAAACATTCTGCCCCACCTTGCGTCATTGTTCCCTCTCAGACCTCAATTTGAAACCTCCTCAGAAGAGCTTTTGTGACCACCCTGCTTAATTAGGTGCCTTCTTTCCCAGTGATTTTCAAGATCTGCAAGGAATGGCTGATTTGTAAATTTCCAAACCATTTGTGGATTGAGGTTTTTCCAAAATATAATGAAGATGCTATAATCATGTCAAATTGCCCTCAAGGTTTTCAGCACTCGCTCTTGTTTTCCGTACTCTTCTCATTGTGGCCTGGTAGCAAACAGTTCAGGCCAACACTGATCTGTAGTTGACACTTTTGTAGCAAGCAGCATTGCTCTGCTGATTACCCTGTGTACATGTCCTTATAACCAACCATTCTGCAACCCTCTGGCTTTTTGCGGGTGTGTCCTCAGTAGAATGAGCTCCATGATGACAGGGATTTTAGCTTGGACTTGTCACTCATCCATCCACAATGCCACGATCAGTGTAAGCACACACAAGATTTGTGTTTAGTCCATGTGGATGCTCCAACTCCCTGATGTTCCTACCCAGCACAGCCCAGTTCACGGAGAAGAAAATCATAGGAGCCCTAGGTTGCGTCTCCCTTCTTTCCTGTGTGGATCTGCTTCATCTCCATCTCCTTTTTCAGTCTCTTAGTAATTTTGCTAACTCACTGCATGACCTTAACCAGGGGACTTTAATACCACTTGCCTCCACCTCCATATCTGTGAAGTAGGCATGGTGTTTTCTTCCACTGTAAAATGAAGTAGTGCTTTTGGACACACTTTGTGATCTCCAAAATGCTCCCCTGAGTGGTTTCTCAGATAGGCATTGATTTTATAACTAAAAAACAAAATCCAATTTCCTCCTTGATGTTTTTAATGAGGGAAAGTGCAGTCAGCAAACTTCCTGTAAAGGGCCACATAGTAAATATTTTAAATGTTGCAAGCCACATAAGTCTGTTGTTTTTTCCCCCCAGCTCTTTAAAAATATAGAAACCATTCTGATCTCCAGAGCTGCAGAAAAGCGGGCCAGGGCAAAGATTACCAATCCCTAGTGATAGTCGGAATTGTATTTCTGTGGGACTCAGTAAATTTTATTTTCTGTTTATATGAAATCAGAAATGTGACCTGTAACAGTTTTATTTTTCTTGAACTGGCACTCTTGCAAAAATGTTGATTACTGTATTCATACTTTACACCCCTTGTCTCTTGTTTTTAAATGTATCATAATCACTGATTTTTGGAACAGTTAGTCTCACCACAAAATCATGGTTCTCCAGAGCGGGATTGGTGGTTTTTGTAGGGGAACCCGAAGCATTGTTGCACATTTGAAGACCATTTTGAGCTTGGATGGGCCCTTAGAGCTTGATGATATATCCAAAAGTGGACTCTGATAATAATGCATTTTTGCCTGCCATTCAAAATATATTATGGTCTTAATTTCCTTAAGTTTTTCTCTGATGATTTACTTATTTATAGACATCTGATGAAATCTTCTATTGAATTTAAAGCTGATACAATGTTCTTGTTTCATTTTTTGGTAATAGTCAGATGTGAATTACTACTGGCCAAGTTTTTATAGTATTGTCAACTTTTTAACTGGTTAGTTACAAACCGGCTGTGCTTGGATACAATTCATCTTTTGTAAAAGCCCCTTTTCCTGCCTTCACTGCCAGTATTTCCTGACGGCCATCTCTTGCCTTTCTTATAAACCACCATGTTGCCGATATTCTTCTGCAATGCCACTTGTTTCTGGTGCTTTTTGTTTGTGTGTGTGTGTTTTAAGACAGAATCTCCCTGTGTCACGAAGGCTGGAGTGCAGTGGCACGATCTTGGCTCACTGAAGCCTCCACCTCCCAGATTCAAGCAATTTTTGTGCCTCAGCCACCTGAGTAGCTGGAATTACAGGCATCCACCACCACGCCCAACAAATTTTTTATTTTTACTAGAGACGGAGTTTTGCCATGCTGGTCAGGGTGGTCTCGATCTTCTGACCTCAAGTGATCCACCCGCCTCAGCCTTCTAAAGTGCTGGAATTGCAGGCATGGGCCATTGCACCCGGCCTCCAATGTTTTTTCAATGTTCTCTGGTTGCAAATTTTAGCAGAGTTCTCTGATTGAAATTAACATGGTAGTAGGTCTTAGCAAGTCAAAACCAAAATTGATAAAATAGCACCAGGGTATCCCTAACTTTTTCTTTTTAACTCTAGCTTGCCTTGGGATGGCCAGCTGCTGAATGAGAAGCCCGGAACCATGGCGCTATATAAATGCAGATTATTGGCAGTGTGTGATCTGAGCTACAGTATAGTGTGTTAGGAGCGTGGATCTGGGAGCAAACTCTGCCATCTGCCACTTCCTAGCTGTATGATGTCGGGCAACTTTTTAACCACTCCAAACCTCAGTTTCCCCCTCTGTAAAGTTGGCCTAATAAAAGGACCTTCTCCATAGGATTATTGTGAGTTCTAAATAAGTTAATACTTGCCCTCTAAGCATTAGCTGAATTAGTGCCATGTAAGCACTGGTTGTTACTATGTATTAATCAGTCACTTGGCAGGAGCCGGGCAGGTATGAAGAAGAGTAAGGAGGTGAGAGAGGTTGGTAATGAGAGAAGAGGCACTGGCTGAGAGACAAAGTGTGCTTTTTCTGATACATGTTAGTGGATAACATTTCACATGGAAAATTTTATATTTAACTTGCTTTGTCCATTTTAATTTCTCCACAGGCCTTTGTGGAGGCCCAGAATAAGATTACTGTGCCATTTCTTGAGCAGTGTCCCATCAGAGGTTTATACAAAGAGAGAATGACTGAACTATATGATTATCCCAAGTATAGTTGCCACTTCAAGAAAGGAAAACGGTGAGACTGCTTTTACTGAATTTCCTTTTTATTTTCAAAGTAAATGCTTGCTTAAATTGTAAAATACAAATTCCAGATAACTTGTCCTTGTATAAGATTAATTCATTATAAGGAATTAATTTCTATGTCTGAATATGAGAATAATATTTTTGATCTATTACATATTGTCCGAATTGTTAAAATAATGGTTAAGAAATTTAGTAGAGAGAGGTCATGTAAAGAAATGTAGATATAGGAAATTGTTGTTGGCTTACGGGTAGTAATTGGTGAGACAGGATGATTCATAGACAGCAGTGGAGGTTTGTTTGCCTCCAAATTTAATTATCTTTGACGTATACTACTTGGAAACATTTAATTCTGTGTATTTCTTCCATCAAAGAATGGTGAAATGGGTGAATTCACTTCTCTTGTTCCTGTCCCATTAACACCCACTTGCACACGTTTTCTTGATCTTTTATTAAATCTGTTTGGAGCCACTATCACACATTTACTTTAGACTTTCTTCAGCCCTCTGCCATTCTTACACAGAGATCAGCAAAGTAGAGTCTGCCTACCAACTCTGTCTGCCTACCTGTTTTCATAAATAAGGTCTGATTGGGACACAGCTATGCTTATCGGTTTACGTATTGTCCATGGCTGCTTTTGTGCTGCAGCTACAGGCTTGAGTATTACAGTGACAGACTGTATGGCTCACAGAGCCTGAAATATTTGCAGTCTTGCCCTTTACAGAGAAAGTGTGCTGACCTTCCACCATAGCAGCCTCGCTAAGGAAAAGAACCAGAATTTGATTTTAGAAAAGTCTGCTTTCTTCTTCATTTAAAAGAAAAAGTTACTGCTTTATTTGAATATCAGTTTTTATTTTAACACATAAAATGGTCTTTATTTGTTTCTACTTAGCTAATGTGCAGAATTACAGTACATGATTTGAATATGGAAAGCAGTTCTGTTAACAAGCTCTAGGTGGAGAGAAATGATGGGCCCTTTCACCTATGTCCCCACGTCCCAGTGATGGCCAGGTTACAGTTGTACCTTTGTAGGGTTTTGGTTTTGTTTTGGTTTTTGCTTGTGTGTGTTTGGTTTTACTCCACAAATAGAAAACTCCACAGCTAAATAAAGACCATCTTTGTTCCCCAGGTATTTTTATTTTTACAATACAGGTTTGCAGAACCAGCGCGTATTATATGTACAGGATTCCTTAGAGGGTGACGCCAGAGTGTTCCTGGACCCCAACATACTGTCTGATGATGGCACAGTGGCACTCCGAGGTAAGTGCTATACACAGAGGCCCGTGGAACATCCAAGACCCTCACTTGGAGTTCTGAAGTTAGTGCAGTTGCTTTACCTCTGAAATACCAGGCAGGGTGTGGACCATATTGTAGAACAGATGCACATACAATATCAGGAAAGCTAATTTTTGCACAGTATATTTAGAATACATGAATAGTCACATTCCTCTTTTCCACTCTGATGGCATGAAACAGAACTGGAGAATAATTCACACTGGACCTAAATTAGCTTCTAAGGCTTCTGGAATCTTCAAGTATCATCATCATTTCCTATAACATCCCTGAGACATACCTGTGATTAGAAAAAAATAAGTCATCTTTCATAAGAAATTTAAGCTGTACAAAGAATGCTCCAACTATGAATATTAAACAGGAAAGAATGTTTATCAGATCAATTTCCCTCTTGGGAAGGAAGCATCAGAGTTTTAAAAATCTAGTTAATTGTCAGCATGTCAGAACTACAAGTAAAAACACACAAATCTTGTAGAAATTGAACAGCTGGGTGTCCTGTTTCCTGAAGATGCAGGTTTAAAGACTAAGTTTGTCCACAGTTGCTGTACATCTCCTGCTTAACTCTACCCCTAAGGTAACCTCCTCCACAGGCCACAGAGAAGATTATCCCAGGTTTGTGCAGTAAGCAGAGTTCTAGAGTAAGGAACTAAGTTATTCTCCAGTTCTGTGTTTTAATAATTGTAAACTCTACAATGATAATGTCCTAGATGATGTTAGCTCAGCCTTTCCCCTGTAGTATCTTCTGGTTTTGTAGAAAAAAAAACCATATGATTAGTTATGGCCCTCTAGAATTGAGAAATTGAGACATTGAAGTCCTCTGTAATCAATAAGATGGGAGTTATAGAGCCCCGTTCCATCAGACCTGTGCAAAGACCCTTTTATATCAACACTTCTAACCATGATCCAGTCATTCAGTGGTCCACCCTCCCCTCCCTCTGAATAGGCTGTGTATATAAACAATGATCCTTTATCGAACCAATATTGAAAATAAGACATCAGCCAGCTCAGATTCTTCCATGAATCTGACCGTGTAGTTTTCAGTGAATTGAATACACAGGTTCTGTTGAAGTAACATATCCCATATAGGAATTTATTTAGTTTCCACAAGGATCTATCTTGCAACCCATCCAGAGGGACAGGGTCTTAACTCCCACCCCAATAATGCATTCTTCCAGTGACTTCTTTATGGAATGTTTGCCATGGACAAAGCCTTGATGGGTGAGAAGATAAATTAGGCATGAGACCTGCCTCAAACAGTCATTGAGTTTTCTAAGAGCGGTATTATAGGGAAGTTATCACAAAAGGAGTAAACATTCAGATTCTTTTTGTAGTATATGATTTTTAAACATACATTTCAAATCAAAATGTTTAATTTCAATTTTTCTGATAATTTTCTGATATACACACACACACACACACACACACACAATTCAAACACTCCAGTGCTAGGTAGAATAAAAGGTGAATGTGTTTCTTCTTCCTGTCACTTTCTAGACTCTTTTCTGCATTTACATACGTATGAGCCTAGATACTTTATAGGACTTACAATGGTTAATGAGTAGGTTCTGTGAAATTTTAAACTAATTCCTCGTTAATTAAAATTCCATGTAAAAGAATAGGAAACCTCTAGTAATAGTTGAACTTCTTAAAATTTTCAGTCCCAAATAACATTTAGCAAACAGCCTAAGAGGAAATCTCTGGTGTCAGAGTCTTCAATAGGAGGTGTTGTATCAAATGCTTTACATACTTCGTAATTGAAACAGCTAATATGAAACACAAGTATTTGCCAGGAAACCTTCCATAGTGATTAGGACATTCCACCAGGGCCCTAAAGGATTGTACATGATACGACAGTCTATAGACATGTTGCTTTTCCTTTCACAATTTCTTGTGGAATGTGCACGCTGGGCACCTTCACTGCAAACCCTCAGGCTTTATTTACCTGGGCCTGTGATGGTCAGACAGTGTGGACATTAATCCTTGTGCACAGGTAATGCTCCGAAAATGAGGCTGTAACAAGGGATTTTAGATAGTTTGGAATCAATCCCCCAAATTACCTAATGGCTCCAATTTAGTTCTATTATATGGTATGTGTCATAATTCAGTCATTACTCTAAAAGCAGTTTCCTTTTTCTCCTTATTCCCTTTAGAGTATAAATAAAATATGACAGAAGTCTCAGATGAGCTCTGCTTTTAACTGAACTGCCTGTTGCATTATAAAAATTTCAAAATGAAAGCATTTTAGTAGGCATATAATCTAATATTTCATTTTATAGACAAATTAAGACCTGGAGAGGTTAGGAAGCTTGTCTGAGGTTATAAGGGTAATTCTTGTAAAACTTGGGCCGAGCCCCCAGGATTCCTCACTACCAGATTCCTATCCCTTTTGTTGCCACATTCTACCTCCGTGTTACGGAAGAGAGCTTTGTCAGATGGCATAGAGGGCAGTGGAGTTGTGTTCCTATGGTTGTCATTGGATGATTTCTCCTGTGTCCCATAGGTTACGCATTCAGCGAAGATGGTGAATATTTTGCCTATGGTCTGAGCGCCAGTGGCTCAGACTGGGTGACAATCAAGTTCATGAAAGTTGATGGTGCCAAAGAGCTTCCAGATGTGCTTGAAAGAGTCAAGTTCAGCTGTATGGCCTGGACCCATGATGGGAAGGGAATGTTCTACAACTCATACCCCCAACAGGATGGAAAAAGTGATGGTGAGCGAAGACTTCAGAGGAAGCACATTTTTCACAAAATGAAGTGTGACTTCAAGTGACTGAAAAGAGATGCTAAACCCTACGTAGAGGTTGTATGGTCCAGAACCATGTTTCCTCAAAGGGTGTTGTATCAGTTGGCTTTGCTGTGTAATAGACCACACCAAAATGTAGTGGCTTAGAATAGTAACCATTTATTTTTGCTATGAACCTGTGGGTTGGCCAGGTAGTTCTTCTGGGCTTGGCTGAGTTCTAACATGTATCTGTGGTCAGCTGCAGGTCAGTTGGTTCATCTTGGCTTGGCTCTTTTACATATCTGGGGCCTCAGCTGGGATGACTAGCAGACTAGCCTGGGCTTGCTCACGTGGCACCTCAGTAGAATTACAAGATGGGGAGCTGAATGACACAGCCTTCTTAATGCCTAGGCTTGCTCCTGGCACATCACCTTTGCTGCATTCTCTTGGCTAAAGCAAGCCAGAGGGCCATCACCTTTTCAATGGTGGAGAAATAGATACAGGGAACTGTGGAAAATTGGGATCGTTATTACAATCAATCAGTCCCTTATAGATGTGTTATATCTCCTAAGGAGATTATGGAGAAGATGAATTTTTAAACTGAACCAAACTATTTGATGATGTTGAGTGATTATAAAATTTTACTACTGTGGTAATCGCATATTCTTCTCTGATCAGAAGTTATAGGTCACCTGTTGGTTGGCATTTATCTTCATGCTTTTCTCCTTGTTACTTCCTGGGCACACCTTTATTGTTCTCCTCTTTAATTGCACAAAGATCCTGTTGTGTTCAAAGATTCTCTTTCTTTGCTCCTTCACTTCTAATTTTCCCAGACAGGAAGGTCTATGTACCTTGTACCTTACTGGTACAATGTGTCATTTTCTTGCTTTTGCTACCCCACATTTCAATGTGGTATGTAGCATTTTCTTGTTATGTTAGTTGGTCTTTACAGGTGAGTTTTACAATCCCTGTGTTAGAGATTAGGAGCTTGGGCGCAAAGGCTCAGTAATTTTCTTGAGGGCTGGGGTCTGGCAAGAAGCACAGCTACTCTAGTGCTTTCTGCTGTACATGTTGTCCCCTTATCATGACTTGCTGTATCTTTGTCATCTTTAAATATCCTTGCTTTCTTTTCTGTTTTTTTCCCCCGCAGTTGAATTGGGAATAAGGCTGTAGTGCTTCTCATCTGTTGGCTATGTTTAGCTTTTTCTGCTTTTTGATTAGGCTACATCAAGACCTTTTTTATAAATTCACCAACGAATTACAAGAGGAGCTAAAAGTAGGCTTTTTATTCAAAGATGTTGGCTAAAGAAAGACATCTGTGCTCTGGAAACGAAATTAGCTGCCTGTGTTAAGAGTGCCCCAGAGTTAGAAAATGTTAGTTATTTCCATGTTCTGGGAGACAAAAAAGTATAACTGGCCAATTCATGTTAGAGAACGTTATTACGTTAACTTGTAAAAACCAAAAGTCATTATTTACCATCAGCTTTCAGTGACACAAAATAATAATAATTAGTAATTGTGATAAATAAAAGAAACCCAACATCTTCTTCCAGCTGTAATTTTGCTTCCCTCTTGTTAGGATCTCAGTAGCCTCTCAGACTGTGATGGGACCCTTAGAAATGAAGCTAAGCAATTCCTACCATGTGCTTCTTACCAGTGTCCCTGAGAACTCAATGACAATTGCTTAAGTGCCATAAAGCTTGTTTTACATTATGGTATTATCTTACCTTTTTCCCTCCCTTGCCCTGAAAGCTTGGTACATCATCATCATCATGAAAAAAAGAAGTTCAGCCTCAAAGAAGTCTCCAAAATCAGCAAATATGAGTTAATTACTTTCAGTTCGATATTTAACCGATACCTAACCTTTTTTTTTTTTTTTTTTGAGATGGAGTCTTGCTCTGTCGCCCAGGCTGGAGTGCAGTGGCGTGATCTCAGCTCACTGGCCTCCCAGGTTCAAGCGATCTCCTGCCTCAGCCTCCCGAGTAACTGGGACTAGTTAGTGCCACGCCCAGCTAATTTGTTTTGTATTTTTGGTAGAGATGGGGTTTCGCCATATTAGCCATGTTGGTCTTGAACTTCTGACCTTGTGATCCTCCCGCCTTGGCCTCCCAAACTGCTGGGATTACAGGCGTGAGCCACCGTGCCTGGCCGATACTTAACTTTTTAAAAAGTAAAGTTTAGTTTTTAGAACAGTTTTAAAAGCAAAATTGATAAGAAAATACAGAGACTTCCCATGTACCTCCTGCCCCCACATATTCGTAACCTCTCTTATTGTGAACATCCCCGACCAGAGTGGTACATTTGTGTTTCATTGGCAAATCTACATTGACACATCATTATCACCCAAGTTCATAGTTTACTTTAGGGTTTGATTTTGGTGTTGTACATTTTGTAGGTCTGAACAAATGTATAGCGACATGTATCCAGTGTTGTAGTATCATACAGAGTAGTTTCACTTGTCCTAAAAATCCTTTGTGTTCCAACGATTCATTCCTTTCTCTCCCCAATCTTTGGCAGTCACTGATCTTTTTACTGTCTTTATAGTTTTGTCTTTTCCAGAACATACTGTAGTTGGGATTAGACAGTATGTACCCTTTTCAGAAAGGCTTTTTTCACTTACTAATAATAGATTTAGGTTCCCTATATGCCTTTTCACGGCTTGATGGCTCCTTTCTTTTTAGTGTTGAATAATCATTGTTTGAATGTGCCACAGTGTATCCATTCACCTACAGAAAGAATGCTCAGTTGCTTCCAAGTTTTGGCACTTATGAATAAAACTTCTATAAAAAGTCTGTATGCAGGTCTTTGTTTGGACACAAGTTTTCAACTCCTTTGGTAAAGGAGCATGATTGTGGGATCATGTTGTTAAGAGTCTGTTCAGTTTTATAAGAATCCTCTAAAACTTTTCCAGAGTGGCTAGACCGTTTTGCATTCCCGCCAGCAATGAATGAGAGTTCCTCTTGTTCCACACCCTGGACAGCGTTTGGTGCTACCGGGGTTCTGAAAACAGGTGTGTAGTTATATCTGATTTTTTTTTTTTTTTTTTTTTGAGATGGAGTCTCACTCTGTCACCCAGGCTGGAGTGCAGTGGTGTGATCTTGGCTCATGGCAACCTCTGTCTTCTGGGTTCAAGCAATTCTCCTATCTCAGACTCCCAAATAGCTGGGACTACAGGTGCATGCCACCACACCTGGCTAATTTTTGTATTTTTAGTAGAGACGGGATTTCACCATGTTGGTCAGGCTGGTCTCGAACTCCTGACCTCAGGTGATCCACCTGCCTTGGCCTCCCAAAGTGCTGGGATTACAAGTGTGAGCCACCACGCCTGGCCATATCTGATTGTTTTAGTTTGCATTTCCCTATTGATATATAATGTGGAGCATCTTTCCGTATGATTATTTGCCATCTGTGTATCTTTGGTCAGATGTTTGTCAAGGCCTTTGGCCTAGTTTTTAATCAGATTTTTGTTTTCTTATTGCTGAGTTCTTTGTAATATTTAGAAATTTTATAGTTTTATGTTTTACATTCAGGTCTGTGATCCATTTTGAGTTAATTTCTGTGAAGGGTGTAAGATCTTGTCTGGATTCATATTTTTGCCTGTGGATGTCTGGTTGTCCCAGCACCGTTTTTTAAAAAGGCTACTGGGCTGTCTGTTCTGTTCCATTGATCTATTTGTCTGTTGTTTTGCTAATACCATATTATCTGGATCACTGTAGCTTTATAATAAATCTTGAAGTTGGGTGCCAGTCCTCCAACTTTGTTCTCCTTCTGTATTGTGTTGACTAGTCAGTATATTTTGCCTTTGCATATGAACTTTAGAATCAGTTTGTCAATCCACAAAATATGTTTCTGGGATTTTGGGATTTCATTAAATCCATAGACAAAAATGGTAAGAACTGATACCTTGACAATATTGAGTCTTCCTAGCCATGAGCATGGACTAGCTCTTCATTTATTTAGTTCTTCTACTTCTTTCATCAGAATTTTGCAGTTTTCCTTAGATAGCTCTTACACATATTTTGTTAGATTTATACCTAAATATTTCATTTTTGGAGGTGCTAATGTATTGTTTTTAATTTCAAAATCTACTTGCTCATTGCTGGTATATAGGAAAGCAATTGATTTCTGTATGTTAACCTTGCATCCTGCAGCCAGCTACTTAACTTTTTAAATGTTTCTAGCATTCTGCAATATGGGTGGAATTGATTTTCTTAAAATTACCAAGTGCATTTCAATGTACATTTTTAACTCCTTCAGGCACAGAGACATCCACCAATCTCTACCAAAAGCTCTACTACCATGTCTTGGGAACCGATCAGTCAGAAGATATTTTGTGTGCTGAGTTTCCTGATGAACCTAAATGGATGGGTGGAGCTGAGGTATTGTACAGCTGTGAAATTTTACCCTCAAAGACTGTGTTTCGTGGATGTGTGTATAAATATGCTTATTATGTGGTGATTTTTATGGATGGTAGAAGTCCCATGAGTGAATATTCTTTTGTTAAAAATATTGGTATTCAGATTGACTCTTAATAATGGAGGTGATAAACCTTTTAACTGCAATCTCAACCTATTACTCTTAATATTAAAAGTAATACTTTGAGGGTAAAAAAGTAATTTTACTTATAGTAAAAACTATAAAAGTACCTAGTAAGGTAAAACATGGACCTTTCAAAACTCAGAATCCTGCTTCTCGGAGGTGAGTGTAGTAGCCTTCCACACATTTTCTTTGTACATACAAGTGAGAATATGGGGAAAAGACAGTGTGTGTGTCTTTCCCTGTTTTACACAACTGTGCTCTTTTCATGCATATTGTTCACTTGTTTTTACATTAAAATAAGTATCTTTTAGACATTTTCTCATCAATATTCATGTATTTCTTGGGGGTCTTGACAGGAACCAACCTCTTGAAGTGTGATAGGTTTTTAAGTTACTGGCCTGGAATTTAGTCTGTATTTTGAGAATCAGCTGTGAAGAAACTTAGGGGTACTTAGAGTAAAATTTTGACTCTGGTTAGTTCATTCCTGTGTGCTAAGAAATATTTCTTGTTAGAGAAGCATTCTGAATGTTTTAATATGGGTGGGATGTATTCCATTTTTAGTGGGAATGAGGAATGTACTACAAACTTTTTAGCTCATCGAGACACCTCTTCTATTGAAAAACAGTTAGCAGTTTGTCAGGAAAGGCACATTTTCAATTTTAACTTCTGTTCCCAGGTCTACTTCATTGGGGGACGAAACAGGAATCTATGATATATTATTCCATGGGAATTGATCTTCTGTATTCCAAATTGTCCTTTTATTTATTTGGATTTTCTAGACCAGGGGTCAATAAAAAACTGCCACTGGGTTGGATCTGGCCTGCTGCCTGTTTTTGTAAATGGAGTTTTTTTGCAGCACAACCACACCCATTTTTACCTGCTTTCAAATTATAACTGCAGAGTTGAGTGATTGCCACAGAAGTCCGTATGGCTCACGGAGCTGAAAATATGGACTGTCTAGACCTTTATAGAAAAAGTTTGCCAGATTTTAGTAGAACGTGTTAAAAATAAATTTGTAGAACATTTTGTTACCTTAAAATGTGTCCCTTTTTTTGTGCCTTTTCTTTCCCATCTAACTTCCCACTCTACCAGCCTTTCTTGTGCATTTACTATTGTCTTTTTTCTCACATATTTGTTTTTAATGGCTTTTCTGAGATCTATTTGGAGATTGTTTCTGCTAAGTTTTCTATCTACTACATCTTCCCCTCAGACATAGAGCTTCTGCGTGCCATAGATATAAAATAATATACATTTTTTACCTTCATCTGAGTGAAATACAATTAAGATAAATATGCTACCAAAATATTAGGTGATGTGTAATCTCATAAAATTGACCATTGTAACCATTTTTAAGTGTATAACTTACAAGTTGTACTTAAGTGAAGTGTACTTTAAGTGAACTTACAAGTTCAGTGGCATTAAGTTCATTGACATTGTTGTACAACTGTTGTCATCGATCCTCAGAACTTTCTCATCTTGCAAAACGGAAACTCCACCTTGTGAACAATAACTCTCCATTTACCCCACCCCTCTCCACCCACCACTGCCATCACCTGGCAGCCACCATTCTACTTTCTGTCCCTTTGTATTTGACTGCTCAGGGTACCTCATATACATGTCATCTTACAGTATTTGTCTTTTTGTGACTGGCTTACTTCATTTGGCATAACATCTTCAAGCTTCAACCATCTTGTAGCGTGTGTTAGTTTCCCTCCTTTTTAACGCTGAACAATATTCCAATGTATATGTGTACACCGTTTGTTTATCCATTCATCCTTGGGCTCTAGGGTTGCTTTCCACAGTATTGTTATGAGTAATGCTGCTGTGAGCAGCTAGTGTTTACAAATAGAGTGGAAATAGATCACATGCATTGAACATATGTATAGTCACTTCTGCTAGCTAGGCAAATAAAAAGAAAAGCAAATTTAAATAGGTTAGATGATTCTTCTGCCATTCTTTCAATAGATGTACACTCTGCGTAACTCATCTGATATAATCTTTACTACAGTTTGAGAAGGAAGGAATACATAAAGAAAATCAAATACCTACTAGGGTAATTATCTTGCAAGTCCATGCTGGAACTGCCTGCTGGGTCTGTTAGGGCCACAGCCTGTATCTTCTTAACCACTATGTACACTGGTGGAATTGATTTTCTTAAAATTACCAAGTGCATTTCAATGTACATTTTTAACTCCTTCAGGCACAGAGACATCCACCAATCTCTACCAAAAGCTCTACTACCATGTCTTGGGAACCGATCAGTCAGAAGATATTTTGTGTGCTGAGTTTCCTGATGAACCTAAATGGATGGGTGGAGCTGAGGTATTGTACAGCTGTGAAATTTTACCCTCAAAGACTGTGTTTCGTGGATGTGTGTATAAATATGCTTATTATGTGGTGACTTTTATGGATGGTAGAAGTCCCATGAGTGAATATTCTTTTGTTAAAAATATTGGTATTCAGATTGACTCTTAATAATGGAGGTGATAAACCTTTTAACTGCAATCTCAACCTATTACTCTTAATATTAAAAGTAATACTTTGAGGGTAAAAAAGTAATTTTACTTATAGTAAAAACTATAAAAGTACCTAGTAAGGTAAAACATGAACCTTTCAAAACTCAGAATCCTGCTTCTCGGAGGTGAGTGTAGTAGCCTTCCACACATTTTCTTTGTACATACAAGTGAGAATATGGGGAAAAGACAGTGTGTGTGTCTTTCCCTGTTTTACACAACTGTGCTCTTTTCATGCATATTGTTCACTTGTTTTTACATTAAAATAAGTATCTTTTAGACATTTTCTCATCAATATTCATGTATTTCTTGGGGGTCTTGACAGGAACCAACCTCTTGAAGTGTGATAGGTTTTTAAGTTACTGGCCTGGAATTTAGTCTGTATTTTGAGAATCAGCTGTGAAGAAACTTAGGGGTACTTAGAGTAAAATTTTGACTCTGGTTAGTTCATTCCTGTGTGCTAAGAAATATTTCTTGTTAGAGAAGCATTCTGAATGTTTTAATATGGGTGGGATGTATTCCATTTTTAGTGGGAATGAGGAATGTACTACAAACTTTTTAGCTCATCGAGACACCTCTTCTATTGAAAAACAGTTAGCAGTTTGTCAGGAAAGGCACATTTTCAATTTTAACTTCTGTTCCCAGGTCTACTTCATTGGGGGACGAAACAGGAATCTATGATATATTATTCCATGGGAATTGATCTTCTGTATTCCAAATTGTCCTTTTATTTATTTGGATTTTCTAGACCAGGGGTCAATAAAAAACTGCCACTGGGTTGGATCTGGCCTGCTGCCTGTTTTTGTAAATGGAGTTTTTTTGCAGCACAACCACACCCATTTTTACCTGCTTTCAAATTATAACTGCAGAGTTGAGTGATTGCCACAGAAGTCCGTATGGCTCACGGAGCTGAAAATATGGACTGTCTAGACCTTTATAGAAAAAGTTTGCCAGATTTTAGTAGAACGTGTTAAAAATAAATTTGTAGAACATTTTGTTACCTTAAAATGTGTCCCTTTTTTTGTGCCTTTTCTTTCCCATCTAACTTCCCACTCTACCAGCCTTTCTTGTGCATTTACTATTGTCTTTTTTCTCACATATTTGTTTTTAATGGCTTTTCTGAGATCTATTTGGAGATTGTTTCTGCTAAGTTTTCTATCTACTACATCTTCCCCTCAGACATAGAGCTTCTGCGTACCATAGATATAAAATAATATACATTTTTTACCTTCATCTGAGTGAAATACAATTAAGATAAATATGCTACCAAAATATTAGGTGATGTGTAATCTCATAAAATTGACCATTGTAACCATTTTTAAGTGTATAACTTACAAGTTGTACTTAAGTGAAGTGTACTTTAAGTGAACTTACAAGTTCAGTGGCATTAAGTTCATTGACATTGTTGTACAACTGTTATCATCGATCCTCAGAACTTTCTCATCTTGCAAAACGGAAACTCCACCTTGTGAACAATAACTCTCCATTTACCCCACCCCTCTCCACCCACCACTGCCATCACCTGGCAGCCACCATTCTACTTTCTGTCCCTTTGTATTTGACTGCTCAGGGTACCTCATATACATGTCATCTTACAGTATTTGTCTTTTTGTGACTGGCTTACTTCATTTGGCATAACATCTTCAAGCTTCAACCATCTTGTAGCGTGTGTTAGTTTCCCTCCTTTTTAACGCTGAACAATATTCCAATGTATATGTGTACACCGTTTGTTTATCCATTCATCCTTGGGCTCTAGGGTTGCTTTCCACAGTATTGTTATGAGTAATGCTGCTGTGAGCAGCTAGTGTTTACAAATAGAGTGGAAATAGATCACATGCATTGAACATATGTATAGTCACTTCTGCTAGCTAGGCAAATAAA